TCTCCACTCCCACAGGTCACAGTCCCGAGAGCTCGGTCGGGGGTGCGGGCCAAGGGGTGGTGGTGACGCCGAAAAGGCGCCAGGCGGGGCGGGGCCTCCGCGGACTTCACTTATCGCAACATCTGGTTTTAGAAAAGGTAAATCTCTCCCCTCGCGGGTCCCGGCACAGCCTGTGTGTCGTGTGACATGCTGCTGGAGACGCCAGGAAGGCCTCTGTCTGGGGCCGGCCAGCACGGGTCCCCCGCAGGCGCAGCTCAGGGTCCATGCCAGCCCCCCTGGGCCGGCTCCCCTCACGGTGTCGGGGACTGGTCTGGGCTTGGAGACGGGGCCCCTGCGTGAGCAGTCTGTGCTGGGTAGGCCAGCTGGATTCTAATTCTCTATTCTTGTTGATTCAGTTCAAATTGTCCCTATTATATATATTTTTTTATATAGAATGGTTGATTTTTACATCATTGTGTGCCTTTTTCCAGCTCAGCTGTCATCCCCGTGGGCGTCTCATCACCAAATCACCCGTGCACCGTCGCCACTTCCCCTCCCCCATTTTGGACCCCACCCCCACTCCACCCCGTGAAATGTCTCTATATGTAGCTGTTCATTATTCTTAGTGTTTACCCCCTGGGCCTTTACGCCCCTGCTATGAGCGAGACCATGTGGTATTTTTCCTTTTCTCTCTGGCTTATTTCAGTAAGCATGAGCCCTTCCAGCTCCATCCATGTTGCTGCAAAAGGCCTGCGCCTATCTTGTTGATGGCTGAGTAATATTCCATTGTACACACAGACCACATCTTTTTAAACCCAGTCATCTACTTTTGGACAAAATAACGTCCCTATTTTTAATAGAATATCAATAGAAAGAGAATCTATTGACTTAAGTCCTGAAACGTAAAAGCGGACATCTGGTGGCATCCATCCAGCGACGCGCCACTGATCTGTCCCCCACATGGCATCTATGCACCCCTGCCCCCACTCCCTGAGCACCCCCACCCACCCGCGCCCCTGCGGAACGGCCGCTCTGCGTGACACGCAGCAGCTGGGTGTGGGAGAACAATAATGTGCGAACAGACAGAGAGACAGAACGTCCCCGGCCAGCTAGACACGAGCCGGAGACTGCCACGGGACCTGTGCCAGCCAGACCGGGCAGGGGGCCAACAGGGCCCGGGAGGCGAGCGGGGCTGCGGTGTCGTCGCAGAGGGGCCGTTCCGGTCGCCGTCCTGGCGGGGAAGGCG